AAACCAAAACCAAAGTAATTGTCTAATTACTTTCGACACTCAAATGAAAACCGCTCTATACTCTGTACTTTAGGTGTTTGTTTAATTCACTGCAAAGAAACCGAAACAGGGAACAAATTCCCAGCTATGTCGATCTCAAATCGGCCATCTTGGACAACAGCGTCCTGTCCCTCTCCCTGCAAGTATCCTAGACACACTGGGCGGCCGAACTTGAAGCTGTAACAAGCACTCGTTGTTGATCCCGCTGACGAGCCATTTCTTAGAATCGGCTCCCCTCCCCACGGGTAATTGCCGTCGTCGTGGCTTTGAAGAGCAATATGTACGAGGCGTTTCTTTTGTGGTTGGTCTTGACCATCAAGAAGTGCTCGCTTTCCGATAAAATCACAATTCTGAGAAAGAAAGCGGCAAGAAAAGGAGTTGTTCGTTGAGCGAAGCCGGAGAAATCCGGATGATCACGGTTTTGCAGAATTCAAATGGAATTAGAGATAGTGATGGTGATGGTGGTGGTGCCGGCGATAAGAAAAGGACAACTTACACAGGTGAGACGACAGTGCAAAGCGCCTTTCTGTCCCAGAAGCCATAGTACCCTTACGCAGAAGTTACAAGTTATTGCATTCTATGTGTTTAATAATTCCTGACTTTCGTTATTTTGTGCTTCACACCGCATGGCTTAGCTAAGAATTTTACATTCTTTTTGTGCAGGTGAAAACACAGCCTGAGTGATCGCTAGGTGAAAAGGAGCATTCTCAAAATAACGAAACAGCCCTATACCATTCCTATTTTCTGTAAAAATTTCCGTATGTTGCACTTTGACGCTTGTAGTTTTATAAGCGCCGTCAAAATTGACGACTACAGAGATAAGTTTTCTCAAATGGTCTCACGAACAACGAAGTTAAAACAAAGTTCTCTCATCTCCTTGCTTCCTTCGTTTCGTACCAGTTATTTGGCTCGTCACGCAAAGTTCTAGGGAATACTGACCATTGCATGATCACTGTAACGTGAAAAGTCACAGATGCCAAAAACACTAATTTAACCTTAGCAAAATTCCTTTTGTTGGTAACTAAAGCCAATGATTGAGCCTAGCAATGTGTACTGAAATGTAATGTTCACACTACACCTTATTCAGTTGAACTCTGTCCATAATCCCAGCCTCCGACGGAGTGATAAAAGATGACAGCTCACTTCCCATCTGAGGAATGACTCTCTCGATTCGTAAGCAGTCCACCACTGAACGACCCGCGTTTCTGACACCCAGATCCCTCCCAGCCGCCATAAGATCACGGTACAAACAAACTGCGAACTGCATGAAGAAAAAAAAGCATGAGGCAAAGTTCCGAAATTGTTACCTTACATCGGGAAAACGGACGGGAGATCATAGGATAGCCTCCTGTGTTTTGTCAGGTTTCCCTCACAGATCACCGGTACCCATTTCCAGGAGCAGGAGTAAAGCGACTTTTCCCAACAACAAAACGAGAAGATCCCGGCAAGGGCTAGAACCCAGACCTCTCGACCGGGAGTTCAACTTTAAATCAGAATTAGTTATTATTTAATATAAAGCGGTTTTCACTTAGGTTGAGTGTTGAAAGCAATTAGCATTTACGTTAGTTTTGCATTATTAAGCGAAGCGATTGGCCGAGAAACTCGCGCCACGTTTTCATCCAATCAAAAGTAACATCAAAACCAATCGTGACTCTCTTGCACAAGTTTTCCCGCGCGTAGCGTCGACTTCATATATTGGCTTTGAGTTTTGATTGGTTCGCTGGATTGTCTTTGTGATTTGTGATTGGTCCGAGTGACAGAGACATAACCCTGGTTCGTAGTTTGGTTTTGGTTTTACGACACTCAATTGAGAACGGCTCCAAACGACATGTTCAAATCTTAAGACCACATCAAAGCATCTGTTCGATGACGTAACTCACCTCTGAGGGAACCAAAAGCTTCCAGTCATTTTCCTGGTCACCAAAGCAACTGGTCCTGAAAACCTTAACACCTGAGGCATAGCCCAAGTCAATGTCCTGAAAATAAAGCATGTTTTCAAAGTGCGAAGCATAATAATAACTGAAAAGGGTGATCGACTGGCTGACTGGTTTCCTTGCTTAAGAGATTCTCATCTTCACGGCCAGCTTTGCAAATGTGAATTAAGCTAATCCACGATTAAAACCACCTTCGAATCGCAAAGATTACACTGACAATTCAAGCTAGGGTTTCGGTTATTTTAAGTCGTTTTCGTCGGCCGTTCAGTTTTTATTTCTTTTACTTATCTTCGGATCAACTTTCAATTTCGAACAAGTGTGTCTTCCAGACCAAACAAAGACTCGAAAAATATATGTACGTTCCTTCCACAGTGCTACGAATTTAAAATCAGTTTAGCTCTAATGTTATTCAAGAGTGTATTATGCAGTATTCACCTTTGCAGTATTCACCGGGAATTGGCTATCGTCCAAAGAGGTCTGGGTGAGACTTTGAAGCAGCTGACGCGAGCTCGGGCCCAGTACCCCCAGAATAACGTATCCTGATTGGATGTTACGGAATGTGATCGTAGAGCCCGATGGGATGTTACGTGAAAGCAGTGACTGAACAATGGTTACGCGCTCTGAATCATCCAGCAAAATTAAAAATCTGTTTGAAAAAAAAAAAATACATCGCATGATAACAGTTAAACTTGGAGACATCAACGGTAGATACAATCGACATCTCTAAAACGGACACCGAAGAGACGGAACAGTGTCCTTATTAGAGACGTCACAGATATGACGTCAAAGTAAAGGCTCCACTAATGGTAAAGTGTTCTCTAACAGTGCAGTGCAACAGTACAGTAACTTTTCAAGTGTGCGCTGAGAATTTGATGATATATCAAGAAGATATGCCTCGGTAGATGATTTCCAGTATTCTCATTACCCGTTTTCCAAACTATTTTATTGTAGGGGGGATTTACGATATCTACAATCATGGACAAAAGTCTTGGGACAAATTTGCATTTTTGGCGCTTTTGCGCACACGCCCGACGCGAAAACAATTTCACCTGCCTAACCTCGCCCCCTCCCCCATGCAATGTTGAAAACTAGTATCTACAATTTCTCCTATTTTCAACATTGTATTGGGTGGGGAGGGGGAACAGCAACGCGTTTTTAAAAGGATAACAGCGCTTTTTTAAACTTCGGTTATAAAACACAGATAATCCGTTACACTACATAAGTGTTCCAAAGGCTTTTGCCCACGATTGCAGAATTCTGTAGAATAAAGAAATTGATTTTCTCACTTGTTTTGTGCATTTCTTATCACACTGCTGCTCAGCTCTACACCTCCGTACTTGTTTAGTACCAACGTACGTACAGTACCCCCCACAGGAAGGGCAACATCATTGGAACACAGGTACTGAAGAAATGTCTCAACCTCTCCATCCTTGGTGGACTACAGACAGACAAAACAAGTTGGAACGATGTGCGCTCTACGGCAATTGTTGTTTGTATCCAAATATTGCCCATAAAAGTTTGAAATAATCAATACACCAAACATGTAAATTAGCTCGATATATGCAATTATCCCAATTGTCCCGTTGAACAAATCATTTGTTGTGTTATTTCCTCGATTTGAACAAACCACGAAAACTAAGAAATCTGGCCACAAATGTTTGCGAGTTTTGTAACTCAGACAGCGGTACGCTAAACCTTTTATGAATTCGAATTTATTCGGCAAACAAGTAGTTTTGTTCTAAAACACTTTTTCAGAGCTCGTAAAAATGAATTCTTCAAAGGGCAAATCAAACATTACATCCGAAATAAGAGAGTTCAAGGTTTTAAGTGAAATATTTCTAAGTGCATGGAAACTGGAGCACCACCTGAACTGGTCATTTCATGCTTTTTTTTTTTTATCATGTAGTAAAATTTTTGATTTATTACCTAAACTTGACGTGACCGAACACAAAGAGATCTTTTACTAATCAGTGTTTGCTTGTCATACCTCAATTTCAAAAAGACCGAGAGAAGTCAAGTCCACCATAGCCACCCCCTCAGTACACGCTTTGTACTCCACCTCTGTACTACCAAGCCAGCTGGGTTTGCCAAAACCGTTCTCACGGGAGTGGTCTAGTTAAGAAAAAAACACTTCGAATAAAATTCACAGTTGACATGTGTAGACACAAAATAGCACACTTCTGCTGAACACAGGAGTGAGGTTCGCTCCGAAAAATTTCATACTGATCACGTGACGCTACAGTCTCTCACTGATTGGCTGTTCTTTCAATATGATTTCTTTTTTTGCGCGAAAGAAACAACCGACCCCAGTCACTACAAGGATAAAGCTGAACTAACATTTACCAGTCGATGAAAGGAAGTAGAGCGAAGGACCATTCACTCACATGGGAAGCTGAAGAAAATGTCCTGTACACAGGACAGTTGACGACAAAAAATATCGCAAAGACATGTTGAATGAAGTGTTTCAGGGCACAATGCTTCCCGCTCTTTTTTGCCGAGTTTAATTTTTCGCGTTGAATCCCAGTCGTTTCTTAAGCGGGAGAATTGATCCAATAAAAAGAGATGCCTGTTTACTGTGTGTTACAGGGACGACAACTTTCAAACCCTTGACATTACCTTGTCCTGCAAGAGAAAACCACTTAGCAACTTCCCATCCCATCTTGTCACCCCATGATGCACCGGCGGCATCCAGCTCTGAGAACAGCGGCGAGCACCTGAGCCCGCGCGCACGGATCCTCTCTGAGTATGGGAACCGTAACAGGTAGTGCCAGCTAAGGGTCTCTTTCACGCACTCTTGTAAGTAACGTTTGTTGTTGTGATGAGGGGCAAAGCGACGTATGTCCACAGACGAGAGATCCATTGTGGGCTCCCCAGCTGTGATCCATTCTGCAAGGGCCATGCCTGCTCCTCCTGCATTGGCGATACCACCAGAATTGAAGCCAGCGGCTACATAGAAATTACCAACCTGAAAATAAAATGATTACTCTTTTGTTTATCCAAATAAGTCCTTCTTTTTCACTCAAAAATGTATTAGAAGTGATTGAAGGCCTTCTATCGGCATACTTGGCTCTTTCTGTCCATGAAACGAAATAGAAAATGATTTCACCAAGTACTGCACTATGAAAACCCTGAAGAATTTTGACTTTTCAAAACTGTCATTTCTGAGTTACATCAGTGCAAGATAGTTTGAGAAAGTAGAACTACCTTTAACCAAAACAATAGCCACAACAGCCTAGCAACCCTTATCTCTTTTTNGTAGACAGGAATCTTTTGCCAACAGTTCAAATATATGATATTTCATATATTTGCTTTCTTCTCTTCGTCATCTAAGGGTATATAACGATATTTTTTTTAAAAAAATGACCAGCTCCCAGTTGTCTTGATACCTTAGTCAAGAACTGCACTGATAATGCAGACGTCACGGGTAAAACCCCTTTCAAGTGCGAATATTTTCTCAGGTTTTATTTTTGCAACTGCCTTGGTAGCGTTCATAAATGCGACGATCTTTCATGTAGTATATCTTTATATCCCACAGGTCAAATATATAATATTTGATATATTCACTTTCTTGAAATGAAAATGGTTTAGCTTATGAAGCATGTATCCTCTGCACATCGCCGCGTGTTTACAACCTACCTCAGGCACCTCACCCAGCAAATAGCGCGAGTCGGGAGTGAAGCTCTCCGGGCCATTGATCATGCTACGAATCTCTGCCTTCTCCATCAGAGGCATGCGGTGGAGGATCTTGTCCATTAACTCGCCTGCAAGACCGAAATGCTCGGTTATGTGTACTCCGGGGGGGGGGGGTACTCCCTTATATGGGCTATATAGGGATGTGCGGCCCCAAAGGGTATGGTTTTTNAATGTTGTGTGGACATTGGTTAACAAGTAACAAGAATATCTGAGAAGAACCGCACAAACGCCTTTCTCTGAGTTCTTCTAAACAATTAATTTCAATCTGAAAGTATTTACAGGGCTGGGCCATATTTTCTACAAAATGTGAAAAAACTGACAAGATGGTAAATAAAATCATAAATTATTTTCTTACCTGACCAATTTCCCACGCCCACTTTCTCATGCAAAGGAAATAAAAGATGTTTGATTTACTTTTTTTTTACATTTGTTAAGAAGTTCATCTTCTATTCACGTTAAACTTTACAAAAGCTAGACATGTTCAGATGGCAAATTAATCTGATCTAACCTGATCTGTCGTAACCCTAAGCATAATGGAAAATAATTACAAGTCAATACATGTATTTGTACAGGTCCCTGGCAATGTTTTTCTTTATCAACTATATATATATCAATAGACTGAGTGGTAAGATAGACAACTTGGCAACATAAAACAGCAATGTGATTGAAAACATACACATACATGTAGCAGTTGTGCATGGAATATAATCAATTATAAAGAGGGTTCCCCTCCCCCCACCCTAAAAACAAAATAATCACAATAATCACAAAAATAAATGAGCTTCAACAAGATTTAAACCAAATGAACGCTCAATGCTTCATTGTTGTACCCAGTGGTTGGGAAGTTCTGTCAATTAAACTAAAAATCCACACTTGTAAAGCAAGACACATTAGGTGNGAAGTTCATCTTCTATTCACGTTAAACTTTACAAAAGCTAGACATGTTCAGATGGCAAATCAATCTGATCTAACCTGATCTGTTGTAACCCTAAGCATAATGGAAAATAATTACAAGTCAATACATGCATTTGTACAGGTCCCTGGCAATGTTTTTCTTTAGCAACTATATATATATATCAATAGACTGAGTAGTAAGATAGACAACTTGGCAACATAAAACGGCACTGTGATTGAAAACATACACATACATGTAGCAGTTGTGCTTGGAATATAATCAATTATAAAGAGGGTTCCCCTCCCCCCACCCTAAAAACAAAATAATCACAATAATCACAAAAATAAATGAGCTTCAACAAGATTTAAACCAAATGAACGCTCAATGCTTCATTGTTGTACCCAGTGGTTGGGAAGTTCTGTCAATTAAACTAAAAATCCACACTTGTAAAGCAAGACACATTAGGTGGTTCTAAAGATTTACCTGGCCCCCACAGTTGACCAATATCTCACACTTGATACTTCCACTGTTTGTTTCTACTGCAGTGATGGATTTTCCATCTGTGATAATGGCATCGACAACAACTTTTTCAAATATTTTGACACCTGATGAATTAGAGACAGCAAATTAGGGTATATTCACAAATGCTCACACTCAGCCTTAATTACTAAACACCATACCATTCACACTGATGGAAACCATAGATAATAAATTTAAAAAAGATACGCAAATAATGTTATTATAAATAATGAATAGGAATTGGTGAGAAAAATCCCAAGGAGAGGCTCTATATTCACAGGTTGGAGATTGAACTGGCAATAATGTTTATCTCAGTCTTTTTAGATGAAAAGTATGTGCAAATAAATTATTCCAGTACCATTTAAAGTTGCTCCTTTGGCCAGCGATTGACAAACATCACTAGATGTTGCCACACCTTCACTGGGAATCCAGAGACCACCCTAAAAACAAATCAAACTTTATCAGTGAGATTTAAGTGTGGCTAGTACATGTATATCAGACCATTCAAATAAAAACTTAAGTATTGTGCAGTACTTTTATGTGTCCCTATTTATATGCTGTACAAGGTGGTTCTAACCCTTAAGTCCTTGTATTAAATCCTAAGTGTGTGACAATTCAAATGAAAGTTGTAATTGTGGTTTATGTGGTCCTGTAATGCTGCACATTATGCAGGAGTTGTTCTAGCTAGTTTTTCAGTCTGTGTATAATCAGCCCCTGATATCAAAACGTGGTTCATGGCCATAGCAATGAGACCTATTATAAAGAAAGTGTCTAAACCATTTGGTGGTTATTTCTCCGATGGTATTAACTCCAGGCAGGGGACTCCCATATCAAAAAGGTTGCAGATCTATGCATGTTGTCTCACCTACCTGAAAGTGTATAAATAAAACATTTTGGTCTCACTTAGGTGTTGAGAATGAAATGCCACTATTTTTCAGTGTCAAAGTATCCTCGAAGAGATAATAATTAAAAAACTCTCTTATTTCCATTTTTAGGCTTGATTTCTGCCATTCTCTCAAGTCCCGTCCACTAGCCCGAGCTCCTTTCCCAAACAGTGGCTGGTAATTAGGCCTATTCCATTTTAAGTGGTATCTTCTAGTGGTCAAATAAAGCTCGAACCACGTCCAGACTGGTGTCCTTCAGGGGTTTAATTTAAGTTTTCGGATAAGCATTCCCGACCTTTTCACATGGCAGTTCCTCTCCCCTCCCACCCCCCGTAGCTTACTCACCAATATGTCATCAGTTCTCATGTCAATTGGTATCAGCTTCTGAATTTCTGTTACTGATAACATTTCAGTATCAATGTTACTGGCTCTGACGAAGTAACAAGAAGATCAAGAGGCAAAGTCATACCTTATTGCTACTAATTTTTGCAATAACTTAATTTTGCAAACATGGAACAGGCATATTTTGTGAGACTTAAATTTTGCAATTTGGCTAAGAAAACAAGTCAAAAGGAACAAAATTTTGCAAAAATTGTCAAAATACTGATCTTCATTTAATCACAAACAGTCCGAGAATTGGCACTACTAACTAATTTTCCAAAGCAATAGTTTCCAATGACACTGAACAAAACCATCAACATAAAAGAAAAGTTAAAACAGTTTGGCACATTCTTTTGCAACAAAGCAGAGCTATATAGAGTACAAGACACAGTCCATTTCTGCTTATGAATGAAGGACATGCATTAACAACTTCTTTAAACGGATCCTTGGAAGGAGATTTTGAAGCTGATTCGCCCTGAACCCCAGCAACTCCTGCTTTTCCCCATCCTTTGTTTTAAAGAATTATAATTAGCATGGTGTTGAGTTTTTCACAGTTAATTATTTCAAAAGCTATTTATCTTCCACATAATTCTTGTAAAGTCTTACCTGCCAATAGCTGCTCTTCTTTTCAAGAAAGCCATGCGCTCCTTGCTTTGGGCCACAACCAATCCACCACACCTTTTAAAACCTGTAAATTAGAATTGAAATCAATTAAAGGAAGCGTAATCTAATAATTATTTATCTAGCCTTGAGCTCTGAACCATGTAACTTAACTTTTCATGTGCTAATTCCCCTTAAACATAGAAGCAATTGTTGCATTTTACAGACAACCAAACAATGGAAAAACATGCATCCATTATGAAAATTCCTTTTCATGAGTAAAAAGAGGAAATAATAAATATCAGCAATTAGATGAGTTGATGATCTATATTTTATACTAAATGGGGAGAGTTATCCAATTAATTCCTGTCCGTTAGTTATTGCAGTGGCCATCACCATTAGTTAGAACTGCCTAGTTTCTTGCTCTGTGTTTATGCTTGATATGTAAGATAGCATCATTAAATGAGTGTGCAGTAAGGATGCATGTGAACAACATGTCCCCAACCCAAATCCCTCCCTCCTTCCCCCACCTGGGTGGGATTCCAGTTGTCTGCCGACAGTTGTTCTAGGCAAGTAGATTTCCCTAGTAGTGCACTGTATGGGTCAGTTTAGACAATGCCATTTAATTCGCTGACTACTGTCACATGCGGCATGCTTACAACATGAGTTGTTTCATCTGCATCAAACTCACAACTTGCTTATTAAAATGCATGTGAAAGACACCTGCATTGTATTGTAAGCTTGTCACATGCAACAATAGCCTGCATAGCAGTTGTTTCCTTTCACACAAGTGCACAAGAGGTGAATGAAAAGCTTGGGAGGTACACAATGGCTTTTAGATGGGAAAGTGACTGTGTGCACCAAAGCTTTTCATACAACTCTGGTGCACTTAGGACAGAAACGACTGCATCACACAGGCTAATATATCAACTGTGATAGTACAATCTAAATTTACCTACAATCCCGGACAAAACAAGTTGGGACAGTTAAGCTGGATCATGTATCCCCCATCCCAGGGCTGTCATTAGTAGCTGGCAGCAGGCGATTATCATCGGCTACTCTTACGAAAATCGCCAGCTACTTCACTCACGAAATGACACCGAAAGTTTAGATACCAAACAAGTCTGAACAGCATATTCATTTCGTCGGTAGAAATGTGAAAAGTAAAGTATCTTATTTCCAAATTGCAGGCTTTTCTTCCAAGAAAAGTAATGACAAAGTAGGTTTTTCAATAATTATCTAAGCAATAGACCACAAGTTTTTATGGTTTATAGGCTGATAAACCATGCAGGATGTTGGAAGAACACGAGAAGAATTCGTAAATCACTAGCCACAGGCTCGTGATTTATGAATTCTTCTCGTGTTCTTCCAACATGCCTCCAAACCATAAAAACTTGTGGTCTATTGCTTTTATATAATAATTCAGAAGACACATGAAATTTCCATGAGTTTAATGGCACAATAAACCATAGCTGATTGACCAATCAGAGTGCGCGCAGTCATTTAATTATTATATAAATCTTAAAGTCCACGCTGTGTACTGAGTAGTTACTAGGACTCCTCTCTGCTGTTACATAACATTTCAGTGTGACATTGCACATGACTGAAAAGCCACATGCATTTATAATATGGCTGCGAAGAGAAGACAAGGTTTGCTGGATAATTTTTTCACCGTTGTTTCTAAGATGCCAAAAGATAAGTGTTTAACATTTTAAAACTTCAACCACAAGGTTTGCTAAAAGTGTCGTTTTTTTGGCACAAGACAACTTGATACAATTAATTAGCATTTCATGAGAGTAATTGAACCAGAATGGCCTTTTCCTGGTAACACTGCAGGAATTCTATAAGGTAGTTTCCACTGAGATTCCCTAGCTCGTCCTCAAATGTCAGAGAACTAAATAAAAATCTCTCTCCTTTATACTTCATTCTACAAATTCGATAAAATTCGATCAAACTGTTTCACCAGGCAACAAACTCGAGTTTATTCGTAACATCTGTAGACAAAAACTTCTATTATTATTTATAAGAAGGCCTGCCTTAGAATGTCTCCAGGAAAAGGCTTAAAATGGTATTTAGGCTTCTGTAACCCTAGCAGGTGCAGAAGGAGCTTACTGCAAATGTAGACTTAATACAAGTTTTTTGCTCTCCATTGTGATTGTCTTTCTGGTGGGAAATGCCTCTTGAAAACACTGGAAATGGCATTTGCGAGACTCTAGATTTCAAAATTTTCTCCAGAGGGGGAGGGGGGAGCCTACTATTTTTTTTATCAGCTATCTACTTCAAAACTTACAGAGAATAAATATATAAAACAACTGACTAATCATTAAGACTGTTCTTTTCAAGAAGTGAGACTTGTTAGAATTTCTCTGAGGAAAGGCAATTTCCGGCAATGCCAAAACGGTAAATTCATTTTGCTTCCGGGGGCTTTATTCCCTGGATCCCCAACCGGGCTCTGTGCCTGTACCCTGCTAGGGGCCTCAGTGGGCCCCAGTGGGCCCCAGACCCCTCGCCTGTGGGGGGGGCCTCTGGCCCCCAGAGCCGTCTACTTTCAAAATATCTCTGCCTACTTCAAATCTTATTGACAGCCCTGCCAATCCCCCGTAATCAATGTTGGAAAATGTCATGTTTTTCTCAACAAAAAGGGAAAAATCGCCAGATTATCAACATTGAAAGTGGGGGGAGGGGAGAACTTGCTTCATGTCCCAACGTTTTTGTCTGGGATTGTAGTAAGTTATTATCTTTTACCTGTTCCAACACCAGTCTCCTCCTCCAGGGTACTGTACAATTCTACTGAGTAATTTGACAGCTTAGTTTCTGCAGCAGAAGAACGAAGCTTTCCCAGCAAACCAGCAGCATGCCATGTTGTTCCACAGGTCAGACTGATGAAACAAGTTAAAATATATCCAAGACTTCTAGACATTATAATGGATCACCATTGCTTAAATTAACCAATACCGCAAGAAGTGACTAACAACACCTTACTACATCTGATTTTAGAATGAGGTGCACCTATGAAACAAACGCTGAGTCATTTCACCTTGCCCTTAAGTGTGCAAAAAGGTCCAATATGTTGGTCTAGAAAATATCCATGCCTCCCCCCTCACAAAGGTTTTGTTTTTTTAGTTTGGACCTCCCCTCCGCAGTCAGAAAAAGGAGTGGGTGACTGCTCGCACTTTATAATAATAGCTGCCTCCTTCATTACCTGGAATTCAACTTACTTTCCTTGTTCCAAAAGCAGCACATCTTTCCATCCCAGTTTGGCAAGGTGGTATGCTACAGAACAGCCAACTATCCCCCCGCCGCAAACTATTACCTGAGCCTCTGTAGGTAATGCCAAGTCAGATGTTAGGTGCCTATCATGGTAGTTCTTGAATGTTGTCTGCTTGTTTCCATAGGCACTGGAAGGAAACAACAGCTGTCCTGTTCTGATTCAAGAAAGAAGGAAATACATGCTTTGCTAAGGATGAGTCCTTCACAATTTAAGTCTGTAAGTCTGAGTTCAATTATCTGATGAAAGATACTGGAAAACAGCTTTAAACCACAGTGTGTATGACAGAAGTTTATTTATTCACTTGATGGAATCTACATGAGATTATGATATGGGAAATAAAAACTTGGATATTGTTTTTTCTTCATTTGGTTGTTTTGGCCTTATCAAAATGCTTAATTAGGGACACCTCCCTTGCGTGGCTTTGTCTCTTGGCACTCGCATCAGGTTTCTCCTTGGTCATATCAAGTTTAGCGTCATCTCAAAGGTCATTCGCTGCCTATCCTTGCTAGTTTTACCCTCCCTACCCTCCCTGGTTTCTATTCATTGCCTTGGTTTTCTTTATTAAATTGTATTTTTGCCCCAAACTCATGCGTCTCTTTTGTGTCTTAACTAATTGTGTTTTAGCCATCTAAAAGCATGAGATTTCACTTCAGGTTGGATCACAAATCATGGGGTTTGGAAACTGGGATTAGTCGGGCTGTGATGTCAAAGTGAGAATGTAAGTGTACAGTATCTTTTGTAAATTTTTATAATTTTGAATCACAATTGGAATTATGCAAGAGTGTATAACACTTTTTTTTCATTTCTTTTTGTTTGCTTTGAAAAATATGTTGACCTACATTCTTGTGTCCAGCATAACTTCTTCAGCCCAAATAATAAATTTAATGTTCAATATTAAGTTTTTAGATATTTTCTGTGTAAATTAGAGTATAACTAACCTTTAGGTTAAAACAATGAACATGCAGATCAATCACCTTGTAAAGATGGCGGGTTTGGGTAAAACATCCCACAGTAAACTGCTCTGTGACTTCAGGGCCCCAAGTCGCCACATCCCTCCACTCCTGTAAGTCAGTAACTTCGACACTTTTAATACAGATTATATTCTAAACATCATGCTGGCAAGAAGAGAAGGAAACAGCAAATTATTAACTCGAAATGATTACCGCAAAGAACTCTTCTTTCTCTCAGGATTTTGATACATTACATGCCAAGCCCTACGTAAGAAAATTGATGTAATTGTTATCTTGAAAAATACATGTAGGGAAAACAAAACACAAAACGGTGATTTATCAGAAAAAAAAGTTGGAGAATGATTTTTTTTAAACTTTCCCTCAATGTTCCCTACCAAGACAAGAACTCTTTTGAAAAAATATACCCAATCAAA